TGTCCAGTTTTAGGGTTTTACACAGAATTAAACCAAACAACATGAATCAAACATGCACTTTATTTATTTCCACTAAATAACAAAAGTACATCAAAATGATTGAAGCTAAGGGCATACAAAACTGTCTAACATGCGCATCATCAAGTCTCATTAGAAGCTCTTAGACATCCATCAAATTGTAGGGTAAAAGCTGTGGTGGGCCTGGGGGGAAGAGAATAACTGAGCTGGTGCACTGAAGGGGAAGAGTTCCAGATGTCAAGCAAGTTTCTATTAAGACCATCAAAGCTAATCCCTACAAAGAGTTTACTAGTGAGCATCCAAGAATTAATCATATCAAGATATGTCTTTTAATGTCTTCTTGAGAATTATATTTATTTCAAAATCCTCTTATTCCTCTCCTCCCAATTTCTCCACATGACTGCATGTAAGATTGCTTTCCAGTACATACTGCCTCTCTTCCCCATGCCCTTCCGTTGATGCAAAAAGCCACAAAGACTATTGGAAGGGACCTAGTGGAAGCTTCCATCCCAACAAAGTTTTAAGAACTGCCAAATGCCTTGAGTCACTGCAATTGATGAGGGGATGCCCAATGGATTTCCCCTTTTGAAGGCACAATGTAAACATGGGGAGAGATGTAGAGCTGCAATTTCTTCTTTGTTGTAGGATGTCAAAGGTATTGATACACTCATGAAACACCTCCCAAAAAAGTAAGAAACTCTAGGAGGCACTGAGGGGAGCCACATCTTTTGGGGTAAGGCCAGCAGTCAAATGATGAAAGAAAGATTTCATAGTGAAAGTATCATTTGGGGTAAGCAACCAAATTATTTTATCCAGGGCAGACAGAGAGAGAGACATCTACTAGGTTGGCTGGCTAGCAGAGTGGAGACTTCTAAAAGTTTCTGCTCAGTGAGACTCCTTCAGAAGTTGAAGTTATGAGATAAACCAGTGTGGTCATGGGATAGGACGGAGGGCTCTGGGGCTTGTTTATAAAGAGTAAGTCTGAAAAGGCTAGGGAAGGTTTCACTAAGAGGACAGTGACCCCACCAAGGGTCAGTCCAAAACTTGATGAGGTTACCATCCCCTAAGCTGAACCGAATAAAAAGCAGGAATAGAGTAAGGAACCGCAATCAGGTGCTGTAGTATCACTTTCTTGGAAATCCATAAACAGTGCATGTAAATTATCCATAAGAGGTCTATCTTCATGCCATGTCTCTCCAACACTTCACCTTAGTGCCATATTGTATTTTATGTCTGATTCCTTTGATGAAGTGGAGGAATGATTTTCCCGTACCTTTCTATAAGGAACGACAACATGACTGTCTAGGTTCACCGAGATTCCACTTGTTGGTCCTCAGACCATATCTAACTACTATTGTTGTTTTTGTTAGTAATTTAGGCCCTGTTTGGCATCAATTCTAGAATTTCTCATCCCCATAATCCATCCAGGAAAGAATGGATTCTGAATTTTCTAGATTTTTGAAAAATAATATAGGCAGTTGGCACCTCCTACTTCTTCTTCTTTGTTTTTCTGTGACCAAAATAGAGGTGAGTGGTCACTCATAGGATTTTGCATAATAGAACCAAATATAGGGTAAAAAAAGACTATAAACACTCACTGGTTGGGGATGGACACCAAAATACCAAGACCATGATCGACACCGATGATGGTTGTTCTTTGGTGGTTTCCAAACAGTGCATGAAACAGAGGATGACCATGTTACGAAACATTGACAACGGTCGTTCTTCGGTGCTAGCTGTGTTTGTAGTATTTGTAAATCCAACCTTTTCATTTGGCAATCCTTGTACGACAATAAACCCTCATCTCTCCTACAGGAGAGAAATCAGGTAAATATTTTTCATAAAATATAATGGATTGAACAAGAAATTGGGGCTTTCATTCTAGGCGTTTACAGATCTAGAAAAACGGGGCTTATTTGTTGATGGGAGAACGAAACAAAACAGTAGTTATTGTGCCACTAGAGAAAATTTGATGTATTGGATGGATCAATGAAATGAAACAAATATAAGAAAATGAAGATAAAATGGCTGTTGGAGAAAGGTTATAGGGCTGAACATTAGTTATTGTTTGAGAGCAACAATTGTTCCAATTAATGGCTGTCATGATCGAGAAGGTCAAATGTTTGCAGCAGTGAAAATGTATAGCTTTAGGGCATTGGAACAAGTTGAAATCTAATTTTCATGTGTACTTACCATTTTACCCCTATTGTCATGTCTGTTTGTTGATTAAAATGGACATAACAAGAATTGCCAAGACGAAAGAATCCATCCTCAGAAGTGAAAAACTCACTTTGAGAAATGGGAATCTGGAGTGATTTTTCATTCCAGGATGAAGTCTGATTTCATGAAAGAGCACCACCAAACGGCATTCTCATTTGGAGAATTGGGAGAACCAATTCTCTGTAGTGATGCCAAACGGGGCCTTATTTTTCTGTCCTTAGGTTCTCTCTTTCTGTTTTGTACATCCTTTATTCATTTGATGAAGTGGGAAATCTTGACTGTCCTCAAATGTCTTGTACCAATACCTCCTTTAGCTGTTGATAAGAAAACGTTATTCCAATCCACGCGGTGGAATTTAAATTCCTTCTTCCAACTCTTCTAGACGATATTTCTTATTGCTTTATCCAAAACCTTAGAAACACTTACGGGCACAGGAAAAAGAGAGAGAAAATAGGTCAGTAGACTGGATAAATTTTCTTTTATTTCCAAATGGCCAATGATCATATTGTTGTTGTTGTTGTGATCTTGGAAGAAATAAAGCAATGCCACAGTGAATAACAGTTCTCAATTTTCTGCAGGTAGCAAATGCATCTGCTGGATTGCCAACTCAAATGCAGCTTGGGTTGCTTTCACCCCTTTATCTAAGGAGATTATTTGAACGCATGGGGGCGACATACATCAAATTAGGTCAGGTTAGGATATATCTGGTTATATCCTTGTTCTGACATCTTTGTAATATGTTGGAGCTCCATTTATATTTGTCCATACTGTAGTTGAGTTTTGAACTTGCAAGTGAACTATTGTGTTATCGTTGTGGTAAAAAGTCAATTAGAATTGGGCTTCATGGTTTTGTTTTTGTTGCCTCAACCTTTGAATCAGTTTAAACTTCTAACATTTTTTTTAATTAGTGCTGAAATTTGTTCTTTTCTTATCTTTGACTAACCTCCATGTCCAGGGTGATATTTCTGTTGATGCTTATTTTGATCTTCTAATTGCAGTTCATAGCATCAGCGCCAACATTGTTTCCGCCAGAATATGTCCAGGAATTCCAAAATTGCTTTGACAGGGCTCCAGCAGTTCCTTTTGATGAAATTCAAGCTATTCTGCGTGAAGAATTAGGAAGACCCATAGAAAGTGTCTATGAGTATGTTGATCCTGTGCCAATTGCATCAGCCTCAATTGCACAGGTTTGCTCACATTTTGTATGTTGTCATGATTAGGCAACCAATGAAGATAATAGGAAATGGAAACTAATTCTTGTCCAGGTTCATGGTGCAAAGCTCAGAGGTTCCCAAGAGGATGTTGTGATAAAGGTCTTAAAGCCTGGAATAGAGGATATATTAGTTGCAGATTTGAACTTCGTATACATTGTTGCCCGCATACTGGAGTTCTTGAACCCGGAGCTCAGCCGTACATCACTAGTATGTGGTAGATTAGCATATCCATGCTTCATAAAGAATCTGATTTGTGATTGATAAGTGATGAATCCCTTGTTTCATTCTTTAATTTTTTTCTACAGAAAAGTACGATAATAATACTGTTACTACCACTGAAAAGAAAGATAAAAAACATTGTAAATTGCTGTTGCCTACCAATGTTTTAAAAGGCTAAAGGTGTAGTTGAGGCATAATGGCCCAAAAAGGTGGGTTGTAAGCCTCAAGGTGTAAGCCTTAAAAATTAAGAAAAAAGTTGATTAAAGTTTATAAATAATAAAAATGACATGTAATATACCAAGTTAGAATGATAAAAGGTACAAATATCCATAAAATAGAAGTTGATAAGCAATAAGTTTTAACTTTTAAGCATTATATAAAATAATAATTAATCATCTAACAATTGTAAGCATTTTACATTTTATGTTTCAAATTTCAATCTTATGAAATTATTCATATGAAGAATCATCTATATAATGGACATTAGATTTATGGTCATCCAACAGTTAGGGAGAAAAGAAACAATGTAGTTGATTTGATCTATGCAAAAACAATCAATAAAAAGAAAAATAAATCCATTAGGAAAAGAAATGAGAAAACAACAAACTTGGGATGTTAAATTAGAATATTAAGAAAAAAAATCCACATGATTTATCCAAGAGAAACTAATAACTTGGTTGGCCTTTTCTTGCATTGAACTCTTTTTAGGCTAAAATACTAAGAGAAACTAATAGAACTTGATTTGCCCTATTGGTTTTTCATTTTCACTCTTTTTATTTGGCCCATAATCATTGAAGTGCTTTTTCTAAAAATTTTGAACTATAAGAAATGCGTAAAAATATGTATTTTTTGCATGAAATCACTAAATAATGTTGATACTTGAGGCTTACACTTTTTTACGCATCAAGTTACGCCTCATGCCTTGAGGCTTGAGGTTTACACCTCATTCTGACAAAGGCTTAACCCTCAAACCAAAGTTGTAAGGCAAGCCTTGAGGCAAAATCTGTGCGCCTCGCTTCAAGGTGTACACCTCACGCTTCAAGGCTTAAGCCTTTTAAACAATGTTATCTACAAGGTATTAGAAGTAGAAGATGACAAGTACTACTAGCTTTGAGAAGCTACCATCAAGTGCTAATGAAGTATATTCAGGGATAGTTTATAGAGTTCAACTGAAATATTGATACTTAGTAGTTCATTTAAAGTTGACAACCTTGTTATTTTTCTTTTCCTCCCAAGTGTTTTGTTCCTTCTATTTCATTTTGACAAAGAATTTGTGATAGTACTGTCTTCATTTTATTCAGGCTTCCCTTCCCTGTGTTTCTTCTGAGAATTGTAATTTAGATGCTTCTGTTAATATTATTACATTCTTTATATAGGTTGGTATTGTCAAGGATATAAAGACATCTATGCTTGAAGAAGTTGACTTTAAAAAGGAAGCTACAAATATTGAGTCCTTCAGGAGATATCTAGAAGATATGGGACTCACATGGCAGGCTACTGCTCCAAAGGTGTATCATCAATGCAGCACTTCACGAGTGTTGACCATGGAGAGGCTATATGGAGTTCCCCTGACTGACCTAGACTCTATAAGCTCACTTGTTTCTAGTCCAGAGACAAGTCTTATAAATGCGCTTAATGTATGGTAGGTCTTTATTTGTACTTCATTTAACTGTATGCTTGCAAATTGCAAAGTGTTCATTTTTATCTATTAAATCAACCTTAACTCAAAGATTAGATGTCTTTATTGTCCTTTTTTTTTTTCGTTAAATATTTTCCCACAATTGTTGCCTTACATTATTGTGCAGGTTTGGAAGTTTGCTTTCCTGTGAAACCTTTCATGCTGATGTACATGCAGGGAACTTGTGGCTACTTCGTGATGGGCGAATTGGATTTCTTGATTTTGGTTTGTGCTAATATAACTTACCTCCTGATTTACCTGATTTCAACTCTAGCAATTGGAATGCTAGAGTCTCATCAAAGTAACAAAATTCAGTGAAATTTCCTCTTATTGCAAAATAGGTACCATAAATAAGCAAACTTTTTAAAAATTGAAAAAGTATCACCATACCTATAAGTTTGAAATTAGATTTTTTTTGAAGATAAAAGAAAATTTTATTGAAACAAAAAAAAAGAAGATACAAAGAAGGTGATAAGCAATCACCTGAAAAGAAAGACCAACCCAAAAAGAAACCTCGAGGAGTCATAAATAAACCCAATCACCCAGAACCAGGACCAAACTAAATTAAGATCCAACTAACGAAAACCCCTTAGCATATGACAATAGAATACAAGACAAAAAATGACAAAAAGTACCCAGAACATCATAACCATCCTGATGCCCACCAAAAACCCAAGCAAGACACCCAGACCTCCAAAACGTAGTTTGAAATTAGAAAATAGTGGTGTTTGACATTTTGTTATTTTCTTTTCCTTTATTTCTTTTCATTTTAACCCTGGTGGAGGGGATTGTGTCTTAGGCATTCCCATAAGGAATGTTTTTGGGGGGGTGGGGGTGGGTTGGAGAACTTATCTTACATCTGTTGGTTCTATTTAATGATTTTAGATAGGCAGATAAATTGGCTATAAGGGATGAATTGATTGGATAAGAATGAAAGGTTGAAAATGGTTTACATATAATGTATAAGATTATGTTTGAGAAGACACTTAGCAAGGATTTCTCCTGATTTATTTGTATTACAGGGTGTAGGGGTGTCAATGGACCAGGTTTGGGTTGGACCTCATCCGAATCAAAATCAATTTGAATGGACTGGATGGACCAATAAGACATGTTGAATTGGACCAGTCCAGACTTAATGGTCCAAAGTATTTATTAGGTTGGATTGGACCTGGTCTATTTGTAAAGGATTTATATTGAACTGGGTTGGATTGAATCAATGTCCGGTCCATTGACATAAGATAAGAATATGGGTGTCAATGAGCCATGTTTGGGTTGGATCAATCTAAATCAAAACCAATTCGAACAGTTTGGATGGTCCAGACATTGAATTGGACCATCCAGAATGGTCCAAAGTATTCATTGGATTAGATTGGACCTGGTCCATCTATAATGGACTCATACTGGACTGGATTGGATTGGACCAATATCCGGTCCATTGACAGGCTTAACAGGGTGTATGTCCATACAATTATGTAAAGGGCCTTTTCTTGTTTTAATTATTTAAACAATAATTTATTTATACAAAAAAGCTCACTAGAGGTAGAATTTTATAACATTGAATAATGAGCATACCTGTATCTTCATAGTAACTTGGGCCAAATGTTAATCAGGCACCAAAAACTTGAAAAAGGAATGAGCTATCACCTTTTCATATGGTTTCTAGGAATATATCTGTTTGGAGATATTTAGCTTTGCCAAAATCTCTTGAGCTTATTCTTTTCTTATGAAGCATATGTATCATTCTTAAATCTTGATAGCCATCATTTAGTTTTCTTACTTTTGTTCTGATTGCATTCGTTGGCTATTATTATTCTTTATTAAATTCAACTTGGAACTTAATTCATAGACATGTTGATTGAATTCCTAATTCTAAAATACCAGTAATATAAATTTACTGCTCTACTAGGTGTCCCATATTCTTCTGTTATTGCCCAGGAATCTGAAGAGGTGTTTTCATTGCATTGTTTAGTACTCTATGTGAGAAGGTAGTGACTAGTGAGTAACTTGATCTGAAATGTACTCTGCAGGAATTGTTGGACGCATATGCCCAAAAACGTGGGCTGCTATTGAGGTATTTTTGACTTCTATTGCAAGTCAAGAATATGAGGAAATGGCATCCGCTTTAATCCAAATGGGTGCTACAGGCAAGGATGTGGATGTTAAGACCTTTGCAAGAGACCTGGAAAAGATTTTTTCATCAATACAGGCAAGGCATCATAACCTACAGGCCATATTCCATGAAATTTGTATGAGGTGTATATAGATTTATGAATAAAAACTTTCTGTGGTCTTCTGCGATGGAGTTCACTGAGTGACCAATTCTGTTTAATGATGGGCCACCTCTCTCAGATAAGTTGTATCTCTAATATGGAATGAAATTGATAGGCCTGGCTAATCGATTAATTCTTTTCCTTTTGAGTTCATAAATCGATGTCATGCTCAAAAGAATGTAATCTATGAGATAATTGTAGAGAACACTGATGTGGGCCCCACAGCTATGGTCCCACTGTGTTCGTAGGGTAGAATGCGTTCTAGTCATCCTAGGGTTAGCTGGTGGTCAGTCGGTTATTTCAGTTTTATTTTGTTCTATTTGTTATGTAAATACTAAGGGCAGATCTGTCTTTTCCATGTAATGAGCATAATCTATAAATACTAAATAGA